CTGACCTGAGTGAGGAAGGGAAAGGATAAAACCCTACATGAACAAGCCCAGCAGATCCCTCATGCTGGTGCTGGGACTCACCTCCCTCCACCCCTGGGTGGGAGCTGGGTATGACCCGGGAATGGCACCAAAGCACGGCTGCAGTCGGCTCGGCTGTCCCTGCCCAGCACCCTGCGTGGCCAGCGCTCAGCCCCCCAGGCTGCACCCGGCAGGCTCAGCCCAAAGAGAGGGCTGGATGCGGCCCCAAAGGCAGAGACCAGAGGCAAGGCTCCCTGGTCCTTCCTCCCCTTTGCGTGTGGCTCTTCAAAAGCAGCTGGACATCGCGGAGCTGGACTTTCCCCAGCAGCCAGGCTGTCTGCCGGAGCTTCCTGCCCTCCTAGAGCGGCGGTTGGCCAAAAGCTTCCCAGTCCCTCAGGAACGAAGCTTCCCAGTCCCTCCCTCCCAGGGAAACAGAGGCGCTGCCTGGGAATGAATCCGGAGGAACCATGTTTGGGTGGCTGCAGCTTGAACATAGGAAGTTCCATCTAAACATGAGGAGGAACTTCTTTATTTTGGGGGTGCCAGAGCCCTGGCCCAGGCTGCCCAGAGAGGGTGTGGAGTCTCCATCTCTGGAGACTTTCAAACCCCTCCTGGACGTCGTCCTGTGCAACCTGCTCTGGGTGACCCTGCTCTGGCAGGGGGTTGGACTAGAGGATCTCCCTTCCAACCCCCAGTGTTCTGTGATACTCTCATTTTGTGACAGGGTGCGAGCTGAGGCAGCAAGGTTCGGGCTTTGCACGGAGCCATGCCATCCAGGGACAGGATCAGCCTTGATACTTAATTACTCCAATCTGGTGATTTCTGCACAGTGATTTTTCACTCCCTTGAGGAGGGATGAATTTGAAGCCGGCAGTCTGTGGGGCAGTGGCCAAGGGGGGATTAGAAGAGCAGAAATTATCTGTGGTTTCAAAATGCCTTTGTAAACCCTGGCTCTCAAGTGCTTTATCTGCTCCTTGCCTGGAGGTAATCTCAGGTTTATTATAGCCCCCGGCTCAGCAGAGCAAGGCCACAGACGCT